TCCTCCCATACTGTGTCCACCGCTTGACTAGTCTCAGCCGCTGTGACAGCCAACCTCCCCGCTGTCTGCTCCGTCTCCTTACACTGAGCAGCTCGGAGGTCTTACAGAGCGTCGTGAGCCTGCGTCTCATCCTGCGTCGCCTGTTCGCGCTGTTCGCACAAGTCGTCGTGTTCCGCGCCTGCGTCCTCCCCTGTCCCCGGCTCACACCAGATGGCACTTCGTCCTTCCTCTGTTCCACTGCGTGTCCCTCTGTCATCTCCTCCTACGTCCTCCCTTGCTGACGGTCTGGACCCGGAGACTGACTCCCTTCCTGCTGCTAGTCCTATGTCACGCATCTACTGGCCACTGTTGTCACTGACCATTCGTTTGAGTCTAGTGATGCGCCTGCTCTTGTTGCTGAGCTAGTTGACTTTGCTGCTCGCTGTCGTCTTGACTACGCCGCTAGTCTTGTAACTGAGTCTGAGTCTGTCTGTCCTCCGTCCGTCGGGGGTGAGTGTGCTCTTGGCACGGACGTCCTTGAGTACAGGTAGGAGGAATTTGAGTGTCTTGCAGCTGCTGTACTTCATCTTGTGGCCATGCTGCTTGCCCCTGAGGGAGACCCAGATGCACCAGACATCCTGACCCCGGGCTCTTACGCTGAGGCGATCGCGCATGAGTACTCCTCTCAGTGGCACACAGCCATGGACGCAGAGATGGCATCCTGGAAGTCCACAAGCACTTGCGTCCACGCAGTTCCCCCTCCTGGGGCGAACATTGTCGATGGCATGTGGATATTCATGGTGAAGCGGCCGTCGGGTTCTCCGCCTGTCCTCAAGGCTCGTTACGTTGCACAAGGCTTTAGTCAGCAACAGGGAGTTGACTTCTTCCAGACCTTCTCCCCTACCCCAAAGATGACCACTCTTCAGGTGCTGCTGCACGTTGCTACTCAGCGTGACTACGAGCTTCACTCTCTTGACTCCAGCACAGCTTTCTTACAGGGCAGCGTGCACGAGGAGATCTGGATGCACCGTCCACCTGGCTTCACTGGGTCGTTTCCTGCAGGTACCCAGTGGAGCCTCCGACGGCCAGTCTACGGTCTTCGCTAGGCGCCTTGAGAGAGGCACGAGACACTGAGGACTACGCTTGCGGCTCTTGGGTTTGCTCCTTCCACTGCTGACCCGTCGCTGTTTCTATGCACCAAAACTTCGCGGCCGCCGTTCTACATCCTCGTGTACATTGACGACTTGGTCTTTGCCACTGTTGATATTGCTGGACTGGCTCACGTGAATTCGGAGCTGCAGAAGATACACACGTGTACAGACCTGGGTGAGCTGCGTAGCTATCTTGGCTTGCAGATCACCTGGGACAGAGTACAGCGCACCATTACCTTGACTCAGTCTCACATGGTGCAGCAGGTCCTTCAGAGCTTCGACTTCTAGTACTCCTCGCCACAGTCCACTCCTCTACCTACCGGTCACTCGCTCTCAGGTCTGCCTTCGGATGAGTCCGTAGAGCCGAGTGGCCCGTATCCAGAGCTCGTGGGCTGCCTCATGTACCTGATGACCTGCACTCGACCTGACCTTGCTTACCCTCTTAGCATCCTCGCACGCTACGTTGCGCCCGGGAGACACCGACCAGAGGGCTCGAAGGCCGCTAAGAGGGTGATGCGGTACTTGTGTAGTACGTCAGGCATGGGGCTCGTGCTTGGAGGACGGGCTCGAGTTGTCCTCACTGGTCACGTAGACGTTTCTTGGGTTGTCGACTTGGCTACGCAGCGATCGTCATAGGGTGACACCTTTAGCCTTGGCTCTGGTTCTGTTTCGTGGCGGTCTACTCGCTCGTCTTCTATTCTCAGCTCTGGTTGTGAGGCTGAGATCTACGTAGGGGCCATGGCTGCACAGGAGTTACGCTGGCTCATCTACATGCTGATCGACTTGGGAGAGCCGCCTCGTTCTCCTCCTGTTCTGTACGTCAACAACAAGGCCATGATTGCCTTGTGTCAGGAGCACAGACTGGAGCACAGAACGAAGCACATCACTCTGCACTACTTCCTTGCTTGAGAGTGCAGCAGCGTGGTCAGCTTTGTCTTGTTTACGTGGCCTCTTAGGCCAACACTGCCGATATCTTCACCAAGGCACTTCAGCCTTGTGATCATAAACGTTTCTGTATTATTCTAGGCCTTGTGCCCACTTTGCCTCACTTGCTCGCTTCTTGAATTTGCTTGTACTGTGATCTATATACTGATACCTGCATGCTTACACTTGCTAGGTTGTGATCACTGTACTGCTTGTTCTCCTACATATATATAACTCTGCATGTGAACTAGTCTTGTGACCATTTGCTTGTGCTCAGACTGCGTGGTGACTTTGTGACCCACCCTGAGCTTGCTTTGCTTTTCTTGACCGGTCTTATGACCTCTTGTTCTCCCCCACTTTGCCTATGGGGGTGTGTCAAACTTATATGTTGCTCATTGTGTAGGCTATAGTGGGGTAGCCCATATGAGGTACAACCCAATTAGGGTTAGCACTTGTACCCAATTAGGCCTTGTGGCCTTGAACTTGTGCTCGGAATGTGTGGTGACCTGAGCTTGCTGTGCTTTGCTTGACTGGTTTTGTGACCTCTTGTTCTCCCCCACTTTGCCTATGGGGGTGTGTCAAACTCATATGCTATAGTCTGTGTAGGCTGTAGTGGGTTTGACACTATAGGGTACAACATTTCTTGGTTTCCTACTTGTACCCACCTGTTTCCTAGTGCATTCATTCCTCATTCTTTCACACCCCGGTCACGTAGTAGGCATTCAGCTCGACGGGATGAACCCTCTGCTCAAGGGTCTATTCCAACATGGGTACTCCATGGACGCAGAGATTACTACAGTAGAAAAAAAGAAGCTGTTATAGTGGGAGAAGGACTTAGCTGTAAGAAAGGGAACAGGAAAGATTTGGGTACCGAACTATGCCTCGCTCCGACATGTCTTACTAGAGGAGTTCCACGATGTGGCATACGCGGGACATTTCGGGAGCAATAAGACATTAGATGGAATAGCAAAGTATTACTACTGGCCCTAGATGGCAGCAGACGTGCAGCAGTTCGTCACCTCTTACGACACGTGCGAGCGGATGAAGAGTAGCAAGCAGAAAAAAGCAGGGTTACTTCGGCCTCTACTCATACCGGAGCAGCCGTGGCAAGTCGTTAGCCTAGACTTGATCACTAGTCTACCTTCGACCTCACGAGGGCATGACACTATACTCATGGTGATCGACAAGTTCTCTAAAATGAGACACTTCATTCCGACCAACGCCACGGTTGCAGCTGAGGCAACTGCTCGCCTATTCTTCAACCGCATCATCACCATCCACGGCTTACCCACTACACTCACCTCGGACAGAGACCCAAAGTTCACAAGTAAATTTTGGAGGGAACTCATGGGTTTGTTTGGGACAAAGTTTGCGATGTCTTCAGCGTACCACCCCAAGACTGAGCGACTGCGCACAGTTTGCAAAGACGACATCAGCCACTGGGATCTCCAATTATTGACGCTTGAGTTCGCTCACAACAATGCTTCACATGCAACCACAGGGAAATCTCATTTCTTCCTGTGTTACGGACAAGAACCACTTACACTACAACAGCCAACCACACCGGCACACGTCGAAGCCGCACATGACTTCGTCACCACCATGCAGCAGTTATGGGAGAAGACTCAGTGACACCTCACCACGATGCAGACCTCCCAGAAGCAGTATGCCGATCGCCAGCAACGTGATCACACCGTCGCAGTCGGAGATCAAGTGCTTCTCGACACGCGCAACTTGAACCTGTCTCACCTACCATCCAAGCTCCGGCCTCGCTTCTGTGGTCCTTTTTACGTTGAGGCATAGGTGACACCAGTAACACTCCGCTTGCGCTTACCTACTACGTGGAAGCTTCACAACGCTTTCCATGTTTAGGGGGCTGCTAGTTGGGCAGCTGGAGGCGCTTCCCTCGTACTGCAGGAGGAGGGGGAGGACTGGGCGGAAGAAGGAGGGGTGGGGGAGGAGGAGGGCAGTGATATGGGGAGAGTGGCGAAGGGAAGATTGGTGAAGGGAAAGGGGGATGGAAAGAGGAGTTTGCGGAATTGTGGAAAGGGAGGAGAGGGAGGGGAGAGGGGAAGGGAGCAGGAGGAGGAGGAGGAAGTGAGAGAGGGCCAAGGACTAGAAAAGGTGGCTCAATTGGGCGGTCTAAATGACAGTGATCGTAGAACCAACACCACTCCATCATCCTCCTCTTCTTCCTCCCCTTCCTCCCCATCCTCTCTCTCCTCATCGCCATCCTACGTGGCAGATATAGGGGAGGATTCCCATTGGTACATCCTCCCCTCACCCTGCATCCGCCAGCCAATCAGAGCGCAGTACGACCCCACCGACCAATCGGAGCTCGCCATGTAAGTGGCCGACGGGCGGCAGCTCGTTGGCAGGTACCTTTGGCCGGATGGCCGGCAGGACGAGGCAGATGAGACGGTTGGGTGGCAGCGGGCGGCAAAGCTGAAAGTTTTCCTGCCACCTGTACCGGAGATGCTACAAGGATGGCTCAGAGGGAGCGGAGGGGAAAAAGGGGAGAGAACAGAGGTGGGAGGAGTAGAAGAGAGTGGAAGGGGCAATTGGGGAGAGAAAGGGAACGAGGGAGTGATTGGGCAAATGGGAGATCGGGATTTGGGAGCTGCAGGAGGCTCCTTATCCACCAGCAACATTGAAAGCGAATCACAATTTGTCTCGTGGCTATCCACCCCTCACCCCACATTCAGCGTCTGGCGAATCAAATCCAAAACCCCCCTCCTCCACCTCACCTCCGCCATCCACTTCCCCCAAGGCTGGTCCCCCATCTCCCCCCTCTCCCCTTCAAAAGACTCCAATCACCTCACCCTCCCCTCATCACTCTCCTCCCTCGAAGTCTCCCTCAAGTCACACAAACAGAAAATATTACAAATTAGAAAGAGAGTGAAGGCTTCGGCGGTGTATAAGCGGCGGCAGCAGTAGGTGACGGAGATGGGGAGGTGTGAGTATGAGGAGGGGAAGGTGGGGAGGAGGGTGGAGGCGCTGAGGAGGCGGATTGTGGGGTGGCAGGAGTTTATTCAGGTGGTTCAGATGCTGGCTCAGGCGGATGCGCTGGACCCGCAGAGCAGCACGCTCACGCCGCTCGGGGAGATTGCCGCCAAGGTGAGCTGCGACATGGCCTGTCCAGGTGGGTTAGGTGTTTGTTTAGGTGCTGTGTGGAAAAGCAGGTCAAAATCTCTCTTATGAAGATACAAGTGAGGTTGTAGCAGCGTTCTTTCCACCTACCGGGATTTGGGTAATATGCAATCAGCTGAGTTTTTGCCTAAGTAACCACCTGTTTTGCAGGTGCTGGTTCAGCTGGATTCTTACAGTTGTGAGGGGTAGAGGTGCGGGGTGGCATAGCGGTGCTCTTTCATAAATCACTCCCTCATGCAGCTCTCCCTTTTTTTCGCCTGACTCCGTGTTGTGAACTGCCTCAGAATCTCCCTCTCCTTGCCTATTATCTGCTCCACCCTCCCTCCCCTGCACGCAGGTACGAGGGGTGAATGAGTTGTGGATCGCGGTGGCACTCTCGCACCCCTCCCCCCCACCCATGTCGTGAGCTCCCTCTGAACGTCCCTCCCCTCACCAAAACTCTTCTCACCCCTTCGTCTCTCTATTCACGCAGGTGCGAAGAGGAAACGAGCTGTGGAACGCGGTGGCGCTCTCGCACCCCTCCCTCCCGCGCCTCTCTCCACCAGCCATAGCGGGGTGCTGCGCTGCTCTGGTGTCTGAAGGCATGCGCATGCGCACAGGCGATGGCATGTGAGTCATTGCGGTGGGTTCTGAAGGCACGCACATGCGTACGAGAGACGGCAGCAGGTGAGGGGTGTAAATGCAGAGGTGAGAAATGTCAGGTGTCAACCATAAACCCTCCCTCATTCTCCCGTTTTGCCCATTCCCTTTTGTTGCACCCTAACACCCACCCTACCAGTTCGCCCTCCTTCCCCTAGCAGGTGCGGGAGTGGGTGTGTGAGGCATGGTCTGAGACGTCTCACAACTTGTCCTCCACATGTGCCCTCTCCCTTATGCCCTAGCCTTTCATCTCATCCTTGCTCTCAACTCCTCCTCCCCCCACCCTGCCAGTTCGCCCTCCTTCCCTTATGAGCCTTCCTGGGATGTGCAGTAGTGGGTGTATGTGCGGGTTTGTTTCGAGTCGATCCAGAACTTGCTTTTCGCATCTGCCCTATCCCTTATCCCGTGCCCTTTGGTCTCACTTACCCCGTCCCCCCACCCTCGCCCTGCCAGTTCGCCCTCCTTCCCGTACGAGCCTTCCTGGGAGGTGCAAGAGTGGGTGTACGAAGCTGAAGAGCGTCGCGATTGGCTGATGCAGCTCCAGCTGGCTGCCAACGTGGCAATCCTTGCTGACCTGGACGCGCAATTCGCTGGAGTGGTGGAGGCGTGGGCGCAGGATGTGACGTGGCGCCAGCTCATCGCTGACTGTGCAGGGTTGGACGAGGGGGACATTGCGCGACTGCTAAGGCGCACCATTGATATACTTTCTCAGGTTTGTTGTGCCACTTCATTGCTCCAGCCACCTCAGATATCACCTCTCTCTATCACAAGCATCATCGCCCCATGTAAAGCATTATCTATCTGTTTCCGGAATGCCTTGTTACGTGCCCTACCTCTCTCACTCTCCTCCATGTCCCCACTCTCCCTTTCTCCCACCCTCGCTCGCTCCTCTTATTGCCTCTCACGTTATCCCTGCCTCTGCCTTTTCCACCTCTCTCCTCCTCTCCCCTCAAACTCTCCGTGTGCGGATCCCGTATCTTCCAGGCATCGATCCCTCATTGGCCAAGGCGGCAAAGCAGTCAGCTTATGTCATGGAGAGGCCACCTATCTTCGAGCTCATTGGCTGAGCATCATCTTGTAACTGCAGCACAGTTCTAAGAGATTCGGCAGCTCAATTCTAGGTTCCAAGTGGCATAGGTCAGTTAGTCTGTCTTTGTGCAGTAGTGTACATTTTACGAGAGGTGAATGCTTTCGTTTAATGTGCTGTGCTGATGATAGAATCAATGAATCGATTAATGTTCACTGATTAAGAACCTCGCAGCTGAAAGGGCAGTAATTGGTGAATGGACCCACTTTGGTGTGTTGGTGTGCATATGCTACCTGCAAAATCTTACAATCTCTGAACGACTGTAACATAAAGTACAACTGAACGACCTCTGATTAGCTCGCAACCAGATCGTGAGGTAACCTGCCCTAATACTGCTGCTTCGCAATGCACCCCCTTGCTCCTTCCCAGCCCTGCCCGTCGCAGAGCTCCGCAACGAAGTGGGCACGGCATTTCACGGAACACCACACTGGGCAAAGGCCATCTATTTCCCAATTTTCCACGCGTTTTTGCTAAGTTGCAAGCGGCTGGCGAAGCACCACCTCGATTCGCAGGGTACCATGCGAATTCGCGAAACAATATCCGGAATCGCGAAACACCGCTCATTCGCGAAATAAACACACGAATTCCCGAAGTTCCACGCGGATTCGCAAACCTGCTCGGTCCGAGCTAACCAGACCTTTCTTGCTGCATCTCGACAGTCTGAGGTGGTTCTAGAACCACCGTCATCATTCATGCCACTTCTATAAATACAATTGGCGAGTGACGGAGACATGATTAAAAAACCTACAACACATTCAACTACTTTCATACCAGCTTAAAGCTTTAGACGAACTCAAAGCTTTAGACGAACTCTTTTTTTCAAAATCGTACCAACTTCGCCAGCACCTCATTGGATAGACGGTCTTTAGAGAATGGCATTCGGTATGTCAGATCTACTTTTTGAGCGACAGCAACATCACCTTCTCGCATCGTCTTACCTGACCCATTGTCATTCCCAACCGTCACCTTGGAACTTTGCCTCCTCTTCGTCTCCGCTTTTTGGCGATCCGTTCCTATTCGACAATGGTTTTGACTCATCAGCTGGGAATATGGCGTAGAGATGACGCAATGACACACGGAAACATGAGATTGCGCGGAACCAGCAAGCGCACAAGCTTGACGCGCGAAGGCATGCAACGTACGCGCGAGGGGCGCAGCACGACGTGAATGAGACAAAGATTCGACAATCACAGCACCAGGAGCAAGCAGCTGCCCATCAAATACCCGTCCAGCATCCAGCAAACAATAGTGGCAGGCGCCCCGAGACGCCGGCAGCGTCGCCAATGGTGTCAGAATGTCATTGTTCTCTAGCCTGCAGTGGGGTACTCTATAGCGAGTACAACCCCTTAGGGTTTCCTATATGTATCCTGCTGCTTTCTAGTGAACCCCCTCTTTTTTTCTTCTAAACTTTCACATGCTATCAGAGCAGGTCGATCCCCTTGGATCGATCCTGTGGGTGGGCTTACAACCTCCTTGCTTCCGCTGCAACTGCTACCACTACTCTCGGTGCCGCACGCCCCGTGGCGTGTGGCAGTTTTTTCTGCCCGCCGTGCGCCTCGAGGCGCGCGGTGGTTCGCTGCCCGCTGTGCGCCCCGAGGCGCGCGGCGGGCTTCTGCCCCATCATTCGACGCGTCGCCCTCGGGAGGCGCCGCGACGGGCGACAGGGACCCGCGCGTCGCCCCCCGTCGCCCGTCGTGGCTTGCGCGCGGCCCGTACAGGCAGCGCGCGGCCCGTACGGGCTGCGCCAGGCCCGCGCGCGGCCCGTACGGGCTGCGCCAGACCCGCGCGCGGCCCGTACGGGCTGCGCCAGGCCCACGCGCGGCCCGTACGGGAGGCGCCAGGCCCGCGCGCGGCTCGGGCCGCCTGCGCGCGGCTCAGGCGACTGTACCAGGCTCGTGGTGGGCCCGTTCCTTGCAGCCCCTCCCCTCCCCGTTGTCCCCCAGTGCTTCTACTAGCGCCCCACCCCTCCTACTCCCCATTCTCCTAACTTAGGGTTTGGGGGTGAGGGGTATGGGGGTGAACCCACTGTGTGCCGTTCCTTGCTTCTCCACCTCCTCCGTCTCCTTGTGCTGCAGCTGCCGCTGGGGGGGGTGGACTTGTTAGAGCCGGTGGAGTGGTACTAAGGGGGGGTGAAGGGGGAGTGGAGCTAGGGTTTGAGCAGTGGGCGTGTGTCAAGAGTGTGGGGAAGTTGGGGGAGGTTGAGTGGATGCAGCAGTGGCAGGGGAGGAGTAGCGAGCAACTACAGCGTTGTACAAGGTCTGAGCACTCTTGTACTGACTAAAGTGCGCACGCTCAGAGGTAGGGAGGTGGCGACGCACAGCAAGACGTGCAGCAGCATCGCGCGTGGCCCACTGTGAGCGAACAATGGGGTCAGCATCAGCAGCAGGAGCAGGAGAGGCACCAAAGGTGAGGTCAAAGAGGGAGAGTCCGTCTGCCCTATCGCACTGGAGGAAAAGCTGTAGGTCGTCTACCCAGACGTCAAAGTCAATGGCCCGACCCTCAGCGTCAAAATCTAGGACACTAGGGGTAGCCATGACAGCAGCAGACTAGCAGCGCGACCAGTAGGGTAAGGGCAGTGCAGGGACAGAGGCGCCGCACTTACCAGACACGGCTGCTCGGGCGGCTCGGAAGTGTGGGCGACTCAGCTGTAGGGCGGCTCGGCGGCTCGGCTGCTCGGCGGCTCGGCGGCTCAGCTGCTGGGCGGCTCGGCTGCTGGGCGGCTCGGCGGCTGGGCGGCTCGGTGGCTCGGCTGTTGGGCGGCTCGGCGGCTTGGCGGCTCGGCGGCCCGGCTGCGGCGGCTCCTGCCTCCGTGACGACGGCCCGAGTGGAGGTGGGGCGGCCGTGGGATAGGAGGAGGAGGCGCCGGGACCGTATAGGGTGGCGCACGGTGGGCTGAGCCGAAGGGCGGCGACGACGGGCCGTGAGAGGACGGCGCCGAGCTGTTAGGGCGGCACAAAGGGCCGGGAAGGGCGGCGCCGAGCTGCAGAGGGCGGCGACGGGCCGGAAAGGGCAGCAACGGGCCGCGTAAGGGTAGCAACGGGCCGAGTAGGGCGGCGACGGGCCGCTTAGGGCGGCGACGGGCCGCGTAAGGGCGGCGACGGGCCGAAGAAGGGCGGCGCCGGGCCGCTTAGGGTGGCGACGGGCCGTGGAAGGGCGGCGACGGGCCGCTTAGGGCGGCGACGGGCCGCGTAAGGGCGGCTACGGGCCGCGTAAGGGCGGCTACGGGCCGAGTAAAGGGCGGCTACGGGCCGCGTAGGGCGGCGACGGGCCGAGTAAGGGCGGCTTGAGGGAGGCCGCTAGAGGCGACGCGACGGGGCCGAGGAAGGCCTAGGAAGGGCGCGACGGTAGAGAGGGCACAGGAGGCGCGACTCGGGCCTAAGCGGAGCGCGCTCCAGGCAGGAAAAAAAAATCTCGACTTGGTGGGCCCTAGGATCAGTTCCCACGAGGGAACCTGCTCGATACCATGAGAAGAAACGAGAATGAATGAACTATGAATGAAGTGAGTACAAGTACTAACCCTAATTGGGTTGTACTCCCTATGGGATACCCCACTACAGCCTACACAAAAGCATATGCTATAATGTTCTGACACAATTCTTGCTGCTAAAATCGCTCGCGTATCGTCATTATCGGCTGACGATGCTGCTCGGAAGTTGCAAGCAATATGACGGGGCTATTCGGTGTGCCAAGGCAAGCCTCTCGAACTGGCTCGGCCCATAGGTGACGTTCGGAAACTGGTTCACGAGATGGACGTGCAGCTTCGAGATAACAAATTCGTGGCTAAGATGGTTTCTGACCCTTTGGAAAAGCTTCGGGTGAGCGAGACGACCATGAGCTGGCTGCTTCGGTTGGACGAGGTGCAGTCCCCGAACCAGGACGTTCGGAACTTGCGTCGGGACATGGCCAGGAAGCGTACGAAGTTGCTAGACAGGGTCAACATTCTCACAAGTACTCAACCACAGGAGGCTGAGGCTCCCCTTGAAGTTCCTGTTGACACGGGTGTTACCACAATGGGTGATGCAGGAATGGATGTAGACCCACCGTGTGAGGATTCCTGCCATTGTGGCAGTCAATGCAGCGACAAGAGATGTGTCAGCTGCGAGAGCTCTGATGTTCCCAGAAGCACGAATCAGGTGGGGAGAGTGGCTAAGAGGCAAAAGCAAAGGCACTGGAGGGACGCCTTGTGGCAGTGGAAGGAGAGAATGGCTGGGAAGCGAGGCGGTGCGTGCTAGTAGCCTAGAACTGTAAATATTTGTATATCACAAAACCCCTGGTTGCGCAAAGCACATGCGGGGAGAATTAGGAGATGTACATAGTACTGTAATTATCATATATATACATATATATACATATGTTCAGATGTTTTTGCGTGTCTCGATTACAACTGAATACTCGGATCATAGTGATTTCTATGTTTGAAACTACAAGAACATTGCTGCTGTGATTTCTATGTTTGAAACTGCAAGAACACTGCTGCTTCTACGACTGCGATTCACATAACCATGGTCTTTTAGTGAGTTTCTTTTCCCCAACTTGGCCACCGACCAGAAAAGCAGTGTTGACATTCTGACGGAACCAAGTCGTGTCTCACTCTTTCATACAACCATAGCCCATTCGTTGATGGACACATTCATTAATTTGTGTCGCCCGCGATACGTGTGTTTCTTCGGCGCTGTTCTGCTAGAGTTCTCGTCGCTGCAACGTTGGGGGGGGGGTTGATAAACTTCGCAATAACTTCATGTCAAAATATGTTTACATATTTTATATAATCGTTTGCAGTTGTAATGTAGATATTGCATCATGTTTGGTGGTGCACCTCCTTGTGTTGCTGTTTACCTATTTGTACTTGCTATTCTCATTAGTGAAGCCCTCTTTTTGGCTTGCATTTTCCTCTCGCTACTTTCCTAAGCCTAAATCCTAGTGTTCACTTAATCTACTATTATAACATGGTATTAAAGAGCTACATCGTCCTAAGACCCG